ACCAAATCTAAGACACCGTAAAATGGGAAGCTACAGGCTGACTTCAGAGACACTAAAACGTGTACCTAAAATCTATTAAATATGGCAAGGTTTTAAACATGAGGCCATGTAGAGAAGAAAATTTTTAAATTGTAAGTATTTTATAAAATTATGACCAGTTTTATAATCAAGAAACAATAAATCTCCTGCCTAAGAGGAGTATGCCAACCCAGCAGAGAGGGCGGAGTCCAGTCTGGATGACAGGTGCTCCGAGCCTGCCAATACCACAAGACCGGACGACGGGCAACCGGGCTGTGAGCACCAATCTGTCACCACCAGGGGTCAGTACCCCTCACATTACTGTCAATAAACGTCAATAAAAGTGGACTCAGCTGAGCCGCACTGAGAAGCTGCTCTAAAAGCTGAGTGAGGAGGGAATACTTTACTAGGTTACCACAGATACACACAAGGACCATTCTCCCTTAAGGAAATCAGAGCAGCTTCTCTTCTTCATTACCCAACCCCCTCCGAGCCTTTTCATACATTCTCCGCCCAAACGTCCTACCCCGGTGAAACTTGAATGCCGCAGACATACGGTGTCCATCCATGTGCTCCGGCCCTTTGGAGAGCCACAGACCGCTACCTATGATTTTTGCCCCTCCGACAAGAACCAATCTTTGCTCACTTCAGGCAATATCCCCCAGCTGAGAATGAATGGAGTTGGAGTAAACACAAATTTTTGGGTTTTTTTGTTGGTTTTTACAGAGTGGTTGCTGGTTGCTTTAGATCTTATTTTTGAGCTAGAAGGAAAAGTACAAGTTAACCACGTGCTGGCCTTATTTTACAGAGAAAACCCACAATCACAACAACAACAAGACAGGCAAGTGAAGGCCCAAGAGACTATGGATTAGCCAAGCATACAGCTACTTCGTTACAGAGCGGGGCCTAAAGTTCGGAGATTCTCGACTGACAAATAATGCTTTCCCTCCTACAAAAAGTGGCCCCTATTTCTTATGTATTTTTGATCAGTGTGGACTAGGCTGACCAGTCTTTCTATAAAAATAAGTCTGGAGGTGAGTTCTGAAAACATAATACTTTGGAGAAAGCCTTGCAGGGGAAGAGGAAGAGCCAGGACAGAAAAGCTGGCCTGGGAAAAAGGAGGCAGATGGCGAGGGAAGAGAGCGGAGAAGCCGACTCGACAGGCCGCTAAGAAGTGGGATGAACCAACCACAGGAGGTCACTGAAAACCTGAAATACCTGAAGAGCCCAGCCAGCTGCAAAGACAGGAGGGAAGCTAGGAGATAACACGGAGTGTCAGGGGCTGCAGAACCCTCGAAGTAGCGCCAGAATTATAGATATTAATCACGACTAAATCGCTGAATAGTTATCTACTTCAAAAAGCAGTCACAGGTTGTGTTTAGGTGCTTACAAAGTACTTGTGCTTGGTCATGCCATTAAATCAGTTCAAGACAGTTAATCCTGATTGAAAACAAACATAGCCATGACTGATATAATAAGAAATCTGAAAAGCAAACACATCAAGTGATTGCTCTGGGCTAGACACTGCTCTCACCGCTTTGCATATCCTGACTCCTTTCCTCCTCCCAACGTTCCCACAGAGTAACTTCAACAGTCAGCGTGCCCACTGAGACACCGAATCACTGCCCAGCACCTACGAGGTGCCAGCCACACCGGGCACTGGGAAGAGAACTATGAACTGTGGGAGAAGCACAGAAGGGGATTTAGGCGACAACCTCAAAGACAGGGTGAGAGGTGGGTTGAGCTGTGAAATATCAGCAAGATTGGTAGGGTGGAGAAAGGGAGCAAGACGTCTTACCATCAAAACGCCTCATACCCTAAGGCCCAGAGACTGGGAGGGACCACGAGGGACCCACCAGTAGGGGTCTGGCAACTATGCCGGTGGGCCAAATTCGACCTGTTTAAATCACCTTGTACTGGAACACAGCCTTGCCTGTCGATTTGGTCTCAGCTGCTTTCTGGCCCTGCTGTGGCGCCGGCAAGGTGAGCAGTCCCGACAGACACCGAGACCTCGACCCTCTGGCCCTTTACAGAAAAGTGTGCCGACAGCTGTTCCAGAGCCTTGTTATTCAGAGGGGGCTGTGAAGCTGCAGCAGCACCTGGGAGCCCGGCAGAAACGCAGCCCCTCAGGTCTCATCCCAGCTCCGGAGAACGAGAATCTGCCTTTTAAAGAGCTCTCTGGCGATTCTCATGCACAGAGAGGCCTCCAATCACTAGCGCGCATGGCGGGAGGAGGCGGTGGGGCTGCAGATGAAGAGAAACCTGCACTTAATCCTATATATAGACAGGACAGTGGGGAAGATCTGCCCGTAACGGAGCATGCTGTCACTCCACGCTCTAGAAAGGTCTCTCTGTCTGAGTGTGACGGTAAGAAGAGCTGATGGCAGAAAGCGGGTGGGCAGCGGGTGTCAGAACCCAGGCAAAAGAGGACCTGAACCATGCAGGGCAGATGGTGGTACAGCATTTCCTTTCTCCCCAGAAGCAAACGACATTTTAAGAGATTACTCCAACTTCACCAGTGCCTCCAAATTTTTCTAAGAAATACAGTATCAGTTATTACTAGGAAAAAGAAAACACTTGATAACAAAAATATTAGTAATCATGTGTTTCCCTGTATTCCCAAAGCATCTGCTTCTAGGTGATGCCTCCAGACCGCAATGCATACATTAGGACGTCAACTGGGTGAGAAGCAAGTTCAAAGATTAAACGAGAATCTATGCAGCAGCTAGCTATCTATTATGCGGGCTGCGGACGCATCAGTTCACAGGATATTTAAAGGTGCAATGTCTCACTGCCAGGACTTTTTTTTTCTCCCCAGATAAATGAAAGATTCTGCTTGATATTCAGCTTTTCTGCATTTTGGATGAATAAGCAATCTAAAGTTCAAAAGAAACAAAAGCAGCATTTTAGACAACCACGTCAACACTATTCCTTCTTCCAGCTCGGCTAGCAGCTTCCAAGCAATTGCTTAGCACTCTGCCTCCTTAAAATTCTAGAAAAGTTTGACAGGGTTATTTGCGGGATTCAGTGCACTTTACAGGAATGACAGCAACACAGATAAAAATAGATGGGTGACAATGGGAAATTCCCTTTCTTAGAGGCTTAGCTTTAATACTTCACATTCATTCCATTGGCAGAAACAATGCAAAAGAAATAAGGCCTGTATATTTGCTTTGAGAAATGCAGCATAACTAAATTAATAAATCTCAAGTAAGAAAAAAACCCACCAAATTTATGTTGAGAATAATCTCTATGTTAAATTCATTAATAAAAGCCTTAAAAAGTGCATGAATTCAGTACAACGTTAATGGCACTTAAAAAATATTACCTATCATTTACAGAGTACTTTCTACCGCTTTACACTGTACTAAATACCATACACGGAATATCTCATTTAATGCTCAAAACACCCATATTAGCTCCATTTTACAAATGGGGAAACTAAGGCACAGAGAGGTTAAATAACTTGTCCAAGATCACACAGCTAATTAAGAAGTGAAGCTAAGATTTGAAGCTGGGTCTATGCTCTTAACCATAAGGTACCTCTCTAACAGCATCTGCTCTATACTTTCCTCTTGCCCCCACGTGAATCTGAAAAAAGTTTAAATGCAATAGACTCTCATTGTTACTAATGTCAGGGACAAAGAAAAACCCTATGATTTAGACATTCAAAGTCTTAATGGAAAGGGGGGGGCACACCACATTGCCCTGTGGACAGTGGCCAAAATTTGACCTGTAAGATAATTAAACCGAGGAATAATAAGGTGGATTCAATTTAAGATACTGGATTATTTTTCAGTAGGATAAAATTCAAATTAAGCCCCAGTAAAATTCTGAAATGTATCATGTAACTGCTTGTTAATAATAAATATGGATGCAGACTTTTAATAATTACTATGAAGGCATTATCTTCTAGCTAACATGTTTGTAAAATAAACATAGGCACTGGCCTGACACCATCGGGTTAACGTTCTCACACTGGCTGTGCATGCTTATTTAAGCAACTGCCTGACTGTAAACGAACAGAAGTATTACAGGAAAGTTGGCACAAGGCACAGCATCCACATGGCACATTCTTTGTCCCAGGAGCTTTATTCTATCAACACTCTTGGAAAAAAGAGAATCACTAAATAAATAATGGAAGTACGTAAGATAGTGTGGAGGTCTTTTAAATTCCTCAAATTGTCAGGTATCTTAAATACAGTTCTTTTTCGACTCTGAGCTCACCATATTCCATTTAAAACACAAATTTTGTCAAAGAACAAGCTCATCTCCTTCAAATTTTAATAGTTTCAAAATAAGATCCAGGCAAAAGCTCACTGTATTCCACCTTAAACATTAATTTAGCCAAAGAACAAACTCATCCCCTTCACATTTTAACATCTTCCAAATAAGATCCAGGTAAGTAAGAAGAAAGCAGGGCAGGAGAAAGGAAAACCGAGTGGGAGAAGAGGCGTAGAAATGATGGAGTGACAGGGTCACCTGAACTCAGAACCAATCCACCAAGCCACTTCTGGTTCTCCTCTTTAACTTTCCCTATTAAAACAAGGAGACACACCCTGCCGGTCCTATTTTCACAAATACTGGTAAGGGAACCGGCTTGTGTTATCTAAAAGTATGGACTGTGAACACAATTTGGGGGTTACCTCTACGCGGGTGGTGGGATCACAATCACCACTGCATGACACCTTGCTGTCATTCGAGTTCGGCTAGTAAGGACAAAAGGGCCGACCATCCGTGCCGACGGCCGGGTTGCGGGGCTCCCCTCTGAAGCCGGCTAGATCTCACCCTCCGGAAGGCACCGGCGGGCCCCTGCAGACATGCCCCGCCGGCTCGGCGTCTCCATCCCCGGCCCCGGCCGGGCGCGCTGCCCGAAGCCGGGCGGCGGGGTCCCGCGGCCTCCGGGGCGTGGAACCCGGCTGTCCCCGCGCCCCGGCCCCTCGGCGCAGCGACGAAGGCGCGTTCCGGCGGGGGGCACTCACCTTCTTCCTCCAACTCGAATTTCTCCAGCATGCCGGCTTCCGCAGGTCCCGGGGCCGCCGCCAGCGCCGCCTGAGGAGGAGGAGGACAGGGATCAGCATGCGCTCGGCGGCGCAGCCGGCCGGGGCGGGGCGGGGCGGGGCGGGGTGCGGGCGCGGCGGGCGCGCGGGGGCGGGGGCGGCCGGGAGGGGACTCGGAGCGCGGGCGGGTGTGGGGGCGGGCCCGCCGCCCGGCCAGCGCGCCCCGGCCTCTCTCGGCGCCCGGCCGCCGGGAGGAGGGGCCTTGCGGGACTGCGGAGGGCGGATGGCGGGGCGGGGGCGGCGCGGCCCAGCCCGCGGGCACGGAACAGCCCGGGCGGCGCGACCCGGCCCACCGCCGTCCCGGGCCGCAGGTGGTGCGGGCGGCGGTCCGGGCCCTCCGCCCCTCCCCGAGTGGACCGGGCCACCCCCCCCTCCGTGGGCGGCTTGGTATGGACCGGCGAGGAGGAAGCGTGGGAAGAGGCCCCCGAGGAACCAGGGGCTGGCTCGCGAGAGGGCGGCTGGGGCGCCCCCCTCTGGCTACAGCCCTCCTTCCCGCCAGGGCCGCCGAGCGGCCATTAGAGGAGGCCCGTTTTCTCATCCTCGACTCGTCCTCCGCCCCCACCGCACACATCCACTCACCTTCCCCGCCAGCCCCGGCCAGCGCGTCCCTGCAGGTCTAACCTGCGCAGGTGTGGTCTGGGGCCAGCCCAGGGTGGGGCCCGAGGGGGGCGCCGCGGGGTGGGGGCGGGGCGCCAGGGAGAGGGGCTGGGGGCTGCCGGACCCCAGAGGGAGATGGCCCCGCAGACCACCGGGGTGATTGCTGGCTCTTCTTTTTTATATTTCAGATTAAACTGCTCATCCCCTTCCCCTGTTAAAAATAAATTGTTCCGTGGGTTACACGTATTGTAGATGTTGCTATCAGTGTTACCCAGCCCCGGATTTCTTAATTTGCTTCCTCTCTTCGCAGCCCGTTCTCTTCTTTGGGTGAGCCGCTGCCAAAAGCTCACATAAATCTAAATCTGGCCCTGGCCACTCTTGACACTCTGGATCTGGGTATCTGAGACTCTCCTGTCGCCAACCCAGGTTGGCAGGCTGCGAGGCTGGCGGCCGAGGGCTGCCTGGAAGAGCAGGGCAGCCGGAGAGGGGACGGGCACCCCATTCGGTGAGGCGCTCCTGTGTGACAGCCAATTTCTGCCCCACCTACAGGGGTCTTTGGCTCACTGCAGAACGCACACACCCTGATAACGAGATTAGCTTTCTAGCGCTGATCAGGGCTATAAAGGGACCCCAACCTCTTGAAAGGAACTTGGTTCCATCACTCTTGCAAGCCTAGCCTGGAAGAACAAGTGCTGAAATCTCTTTTGAGCTTTCTATTTGCTCTGGCATCTCAGGTGGGCCAATCCTAAATCTTAAACTTTTCCTTAAAGGGGGCGGGAGCGGGGGGAAGAAGAATAAACTAATTTTGTAAGATGTTTCATGGTAAAAACCTACAGCTATGTCATGCTTAACAGCAAAAGACTGAATGCTTTCCCTCTAAATCCAGGAACAAAGCAAGAATGTCTGCTTCCACTCCATTTTTATTCAACATAGTCCTGGAAATTCCAACCATGCAATAAGGCAAGAAAAAGAAATAAAAGGCATGCAAATTGCAAAGGAAGAAATAAAACTATCCCTATTTGCAGATGACATGGTTGTCTGCATAGAAAGTCCCAAGGAATCTACCAAAAGGAACCCCCCAAACAAAACAAAAACCCTAAAACTAGAACTAGTGAGTTCAGGAAGGTCATAGGATACAAGATCAACACACAAAAATCAATCACATTTCTATATACTGACAATGAACATGTGGAAACTGGTATTAAAAACAATACTATTTGCAATCACTGCAAAGAAAATTAAGTAATTAGGTATACACTTAGAAAACATGTACAAGATCTGTATGCTGAAAATTACAAAATGTGGATGAAATGAAAGAAGACCTAAATAAATGGAGAGGCATCCCATGTTCATGGATTGGAAGAGCCAACACAGTAAAGATGTCAGTTCTCCCTCAAATTGATGTCTAGGTTTAATGCAATTCCCATAAAGATCCTGATAAGGTTTTTTGTAGACAAGATAAGCTTATTCTAAAATTTATATGGAAAGGCACAAGCTCTAGAAGAGCTAAAACAGTCTTGAAAAAGAAGAATGAAGTGTGAGGGATCACCCTACTCCACATTAAATCTCACTGTAGAGCTACAGTAATCAAGACTCGTATTGGCAGAGGAATAGACACAGTGTTCAACAGAAACAGAGAATCTAGAACTAGACCCACACAAATGTGTCAAATCAGTGTTTGATAAAGGTGCAAAAGCAATGGTGCTATAGCAATTGGACATCGAAAGGAAAAAAATAAACCTCAACCTTAGCCTCACACCTTATACAAAAATGAGCTTACATTGAATCATGGACTTAAAAATAAAATGTAAAACTAAGAAACTTCTAGAAAAAATAGGAGAAAATCTTCAGGACCTATTCCTAGGCAAAGAGCATCAAAAGCATGATCCATAAAAGAAAAAATTAACAAATTGGACCTCATTAAAATTAAAAGCACTTGCTCTGTGACAGACCTTGTTAAAAGGATGACAAGACAAACTACAGAGTGGGAGAAAATACTCGCAAACCACACAGCCAACAAATGACTAGTATCTGGACTACATCTGAACTCTCAAAAATCCACAGTAGAAAAAGAAAACAATCCAGTTAGAACGTGAGCAAAAGACATGAAGAGACAATACACTGAAAAAGATATACAGAATGCAAACAAGGACGTGAAAAGACATTCAGCATTATTAGTTATTAAAGAAATGCAAATTAAAACCACAATAAGCTATTATTACATACCTATTAAAATGGCCAAAATAAAAATAGTGACGACACCAAATGCTGGGGAGGATGCAGAGAAACAGTATCACTTCTGCATTGCTGTGGGGATGCAAAGTCCTTACACCACTCTGGAAAACAATTTGGCAGTTTCTTAGGAAACTAAACATGCAACTGCCACATAACACATCAATTGCACTCTTGGGCATTTCTCCCAGGGAAACGAAAACTTATGTTTACACAAAAACCTGTCTACGAACGTTCATAGCAGCTTCCTTTGCAATAGCCCAAACTGGAAATAGCAGATGTCATTCAACAGGTGAATGGTTAAACAAACTATGTTACATCTATACCATGGAATACTACTCAGCAATAAAAAGAGATGAACTGTTAAAATATATAACCACTTACATGAATGTGCAGGGAATTATGCTGAGTGAAAAAAGCCAATCTCAAAAGCTTACATACTGTATGATTCTAGTTACATAACATTTTTGAAATGACAGAATTAGAGAAATGGAGAACAGATTCGTGGATGCCAGGGGTGGGGGTGGGGGAACAGAGGTACCTGTGGCTATAAAAGGGCAACATAAGGAATCCTTGTGGTGATGGAAATGTTCTGTATCTTGGCTGTGTCAATGTTAATATCCTGCTTTTGTGATGTCACTCTATATTTTTCCCCCATGAGTCAAGTCAAGCTGATTTAACTGTGTGGAGGAAATGACAATTTGGGTTAAATAAAAAAAAAATTTTATTGAGATATAAGTCACATACCATAAAATATGATTTTCAGTATATTTACAAAGTTGTGCAACCATCTGTGTTTACAACATTTTCATCATCCCAAAGAGAAACCTTGTACTTGTTAACAGTCACTGCCTATTACTCCCTTAATCCTCACTTCTAGCCCGAGGCAACCACTAATCTACTTTCTGTCACCATAGATCTGCCTATTCTGGACATTTCATATAAATGGAATCATATAATATGTGGTCTTTTGTCTTTGGCTTCTTTCACTCAGCATAATGTTTTCAAGGTTCATCCATGTAACATGTATCAGCACTTCATTTCTTTTCATTGCTGACTAATATTCCATTGTATGGATACACCACATTTTGTATTTCTGTTCATCAGTTAATGGATAGTTAGATGCTTTCCACCTTTTGGCTACTGTGAATATTGCTGCTATAAACATTCATGTACAAGTGTTTGTGTGGACATATTTTTTCATTTCTCTTGGGTATAGACCCAGGAATGGAATTTCTGAGTCATATGGTAACTCTATATTTAACATTTTGAGAAAATGCGAAACTGTTTACCACAGTGGCTGCACCTTTTCACCAGCACCACATGAGGATCCCAATTTCTCCTGTACTATAGTTTGCAAGATGTTACCACGGGGGAAACTAGATAAACGGCATGCAGGATCTCTCTGTATTATCTCTTTTACAACTGTATGTGAATCTACAATGATCTTGAAATGAAAAGTTTAATTTTAAAAAAAGTATGGTGGTACATAGTGGAAGTGTCAATCATCCTAATTTTTGAAAAGTTTACACTTTATTGCAGTAATTTTCGCATAATTTTAAGAAGAAATCTCTAATGGATGTTTACTAGGATCACTGTCAATTTCACCTGTAATATTTTTTTGGGAGGCAAAAATGAGCAGCAAGTGGGAGTATGTATTTCTGGAGGCTGTGAACTCTGCAAAAGTAGTCCTCAGACTAAAAAGTCCTGTACCCACTACTGTAGAAGTTGGCAGAGAAAATAGAAATGGAAACACACTAATGTGAGTCTCTTAGGTTTTACTTCCCTTGATAAAGGGTGTGCTGGAGTAGATGAAAATAGAAATGTTTCCATATAATATGAGAGTGAGGCTGAATTTATTCCATAGGTTGTTTTCACTTAGTGAGACATCTCGTTTTCTTTCTTAGAAAGGAGCACAGTCACAGGACACTAGAAAAAGGTGGATGAAATTGTTCTCTGTCACACCCTAGGTTGATTTCAGGAATTTGAAGGCCTGCAAAGCTTTTTAGGCATGCACATAAATGTTGACAGGGTCAGATGGGTGATGGATGAGTTATTAGAAATAACTTAAAGTTGGTGGTCGTTGGTTGCCCTTTCATGGTGATGTTTTCTTAAAGTCTCAACAGACTTCTATGCCAGACTTAATTTTAGCTATTTCAGGCG